AACTTCCTAACAGGGAGGGCAATTAACCATTGGAACTGCTAGCCACCAGAAGTTGTGGGTGCTCCATTACCGGAGGTTTTAAAGAAGAGATTAGACAGCCATTTATCTGAGTCGGTATAGGGTCTCCTTGTTGAGCAGGGAGTAGACTAGAAGACCTCCAAGGTCCCTCCCAGCTGTATTCTGATCGATCGATCTTCTGTTTCTCTCCTCTTTGGGGATGAGATTCCATCACACCTGGAGGAGAAGCCCTGATATGTTTAGGCTGCAAGAGAGCCAGGCTGGCAGAACGAGTTTAACCCCCTTACCTGCCCATCTTTAAAGTAGACGAGGTGAAGGATTTCCACTGCAGACGGAATCACCTTCCCGGCTTTCTCGGTTCCTCCCAGAGACCAATACTCCACCTCCTGGCCAGCCTCAGGAGCTGACTCCTCCTCCAGGGCCATGAGATCCATGCATGGAAAGCCTGCAGAGAACCAGAAGGTGGGAGGTTAGAAGGAACACCTGGTTCGATGATGGATGGGTGGATGCTTGGGACAGATGGCACCTGTCTCAGCCAGCAGTTCTTCTCCTGGGCGGGCAATGATCCAAGAAAGGCCACGAACCTTACAGCAGGTGGTGTGAGGACCTGGCACGAAGGCCACACAGCCAGCTGAGAGTTCAACCTCCCTTTTAATGCTTCAGATTTCCCCCCAAACGCTCCCACGTGCTTGGCAAGTCCCAGAGCAAAGTGTGCATGCAAACAGAAAGCAGCCTCTGGCTGCACCCAGTCCAGAAAAACAAAGGAACAAGGCACAGAATCCGCGAAGCAAGGAACAAAGAATGAGTCCACGAAGCAAGGAACAAACAATGAGTCCGCGAAGCAAGGAACAAACAATGAGTCCGCGAAGCAAGGAACAAACAATGAGTCCACGAAGCAAGGAACAAACAATGAGTCCACGAAGCAAGGAACAAACAATGAGTCCACGAAGCAAGGAACAAACAATGAGTCCACGAAGCAAGGAACAAACAATTTCAGTTTTTAGAAATGGAGTTTTGGAACTATGAGAAACAACAAGAAATGCCTGCAGAACAAGAAAACTGCAACAAAGAAGAAGCCACCTTTAATGAACAAGTAATCTTAGATGGGGGGAAAAAAGGAAAGGGGGGGAAAGAGAATGGAAAGTTTAAGATTGGGAAAAACAACTCCAAAAAAAAAATAGTGAAAAATAAGTATAAAATGAGAAAGCAACAGAAGAGGGAAATGCAGAAGAGAGAATTAGAAGTAGAGAGACAAGGGGGTAAAAAGGGGAGGGAGAAGATGAGAGGGAAGAAAGAAAGGAAAAGAAGTTATAAAGGACAGAAGCAAAATATAGAGAAACAGGGTCTATTTAGAGATAATGGGTGAAAACTTAATGGAAAAGGGGATTCTGCAAAGGTACATAAGATAGTATGGTTATACTAGAAACAGAAATAATTTTAGAAAATATGAAACAATGTATGATTAAAATGTCTGATAAAATAGCTATCGTAATTCAGTGGAATGCTTGTCAATAAATAAATGTAACAAAAGGTATATTTAATGATATATAAAAGATATGTGAAGAGAAATAAGGGAAAAATTAATTATGGAGATTATATGTGTTTTTAAGGAAGTATGATATTTAATTGAAAAGAAGTGTTAAAGATGTTAAGATTTTAATGATTATTAATGATAGAACTGAACTGGAATGGAATGAGGGTTTATAATTACATATATTTACAATCTTTTTTTTTAAAGAATATAGTGTGCATTATAAAAATGTACCAAGCAGAATTCGATTGGAAGTTAAGTATTATGTATTATATTGAAGATCATAACCTTAAGGTATATATATTCAAGTTTAAATAAGAGTTGAATGGATGTAATTAAAAGATAAAAAGGTGTCATACTCCAATTAGTAACTACAGGAGAAAATTTGTTTAATAAGAAAAGATAATATGAAATTGAAACAGGACAGACAAAAGTATAAATATAATGATTTGAATTGAGATGAGATAATCAAAATAAAATTGAGAAAATTAAAAGAGGGGAAAAACTATATAGAAAATGTAGAATAGTATAAGATATGGAATAGAACACAAAAAGGAGCATGAAATTGAGTTTTGTGTCTGTATAAAGAAGTTCAACCCGGGACCACGCTATTTTCAAAAAAGATGTTTTACTTGTATTTTGTATGTGTGAAAACCCAAATAAAACTTTATTTAAAAAAAAAAAACAATGAGTCCATGAAGCAAGGAACAAAGAATGAGTCCATGAAGTAAGGAACAAAGAATTAGTCCACAAAGCAAGGAACCAGGCACTGAGTCCATGAAGCAAGGAAGAAGCTAGCAGTCCTGCAAACTCCAAATGTCTGCAATGGCACACCAAAACTTTATCAATTCACCGCTTGTTCCTGGCAAACGCCCCTCTCCACAGCGTCTCCTTAAATCTCAGTCCCCAGGTGTGCCTTGTGAAGAGGGGCGGGACACTCTCCTCCCGAGTATTTGGGTCGGCCTGCGCTGTTCCTGCCTTCTCTCCGCTCTCCGTGCTCAGGGATCAGGAGAGGGCGGTCCTTGCTCATCGCCTGAGCTTCGTTGCTCCTCCTGTTCACTCCTTGCCCTCTCTCGGTCATCCTGCCCCTGTTCCTCCCTGCTAACAAGCCACCCTCTCGATCTCTTGTCGGTCCGACTGGTCAGATTCGGGTTCCGACGGGGGCATGACAGACAAGTGCTTCTGGCTTCCCCGTGGACTTTTACATGTTAGGAGGCCGTTAAAAGGGGGTCACGTGACCCCAGTTGTCAAGCCTCTGAATTTCTATCACGTGACCACCGGGGATGCCGTAATGTTCATAAGGGTGGAAAACGGCCGTAAGTCACTTTTTTTCAGTGTCAACGTAACTACGAATGGCCATAAGTCGAGGGCTATTTGTATAGCACGGCCTGTTTAGACTCAGTGTAGGTCTCTGGGTTAAGGTATGCCAGCTGGCATGGAATCGTGTGCCGTCCCCTACTTGGGAGTGTAGAAATAAGCGCCTCGATTCCCTGCCCTGAGTTACTGGCGATTGTCTTTACCCTGGGCAGAAAATGCCATGGGAGGAACGGCGGGAACCATGGCTGGTGACCTGGTCTGCACCTTCTCTGCCCCATCCAAAACTGGAAAGCCTTGGCTGGCCCACGACTAGGGTTGGAAATCACTATCTTATGGGCCCTTTTCCATATCTCATATATTTATCTTTTTTGGCTTACCATTCCTATCATGGACAGGACAGAACAGGAGGATTGGGGGATAGGATGGGATGGGAAAGGAGAGGATAGAAAAATAATATGATGGGGTCAGGATAGGACAGAATAGGGTGCAATAAGAAAGGATGGGATAGGATAAGAATAGGATAGGATAAGGATAGGATG